AGTGATTGAGCGGCTCCAAGAGGCGTAGTTATCTCCGGTTGGCAATTGCGATACCAGGATCAGCCCGGGACCGTCAGACGGATGAAGATAGTAAGGACTCGACGGATCGTCGAGGAGAGAACGAGACCGAACAAATTAATGCAGCCCAAAGAAATCACAAACGAAACGAAAATGGAAAAGAACACGATGTGAACAAAGGATTGAATGCGGAAACGTAATTCTCAATCTGATATACATATGAATAAGTATAAAACGTGTTTTCTAATAAAACGATGTAATATTTATGAATATAGCTAATAGAAACTTTCGTTACTTTGATATTAAATTTTGTAAGTAACAGTGTATCTAAAAAAAAAAGAAAAGAGATTGAGAAAATGGTTAATTCTCTGATCTGAATAATGAAAACCCGGAAAATAAATAGAGGAAACTAATAAATAAATTAAATTATGAAAAACAAGAATTCATGATAGTAAATTCCTGTGATTCCGTTCAGATTTAATTCCAGATGTATTCTTAGATTTCTTTAGTATCTATAACTCGAAGATTTGCTCAATTTTCATTGCTTGAAATTCTGATCTTTTACTCATCTTACTTTTACATGAATTCTTTATAGATGCATGTTACTTTTGATGTTTTCTTACAATACATGAACCAAGACAGGCCTATATAGATTCAAGTGTGATAATCGGACAGGCTGGCGATGTCGAGAAAGAATCGGGGTCGTATGAAAATATCAAGTACATGAAATGTGAACCCGAGAATAGTTTCTTCCCCGATCTCTCGAAAACCGCTAGAACAAATGTTATCTTCTTCTGCTCTCCAAACAACCCCACTGGCCATGCAGCATCTCGTCAGCAATTAGAACAAGTCGTTCGATTCGCACAAGAGAATGGATCCATCATCGTATACGACTCGGCATATGCTGTTTATATTTCTGATGAAAGTCCTCGTTCGATATACGAAATTCCCGGGGCTGAAAAGGTAAACTTATAAAATAAAAATGATCGTTTATAAAATTCGTTTGAAACCCTATTTGTTACCATGGATAAAAATGATAAAATTCATGTGTTAATTTCGACTCGATTCTTTGCCACAGGTTGCTATAGAAGTCTCATCCTTCCCCAAGATTGCTGGATTTACCGGGGTCCGCCTAGGCTGGACCGTAGTGCCAAAGGATCTCTTGTATTCGAATGGATTTCCTGTAATAAACGACTTCAACCGAATTGTCTTACATGCTTTAATGGAGCTTCGAGAATAGCTCAGGCAGGTGGGCTAGCTAGCTATCTAAAGAGGGTTTCAAGGTCAGTTTCTTACATCACAAGTAAAGTTTGGAAGAAGTGATTCTAAACTTTTTTTGTTTTTTATTTTTGGGCAAAATGCTTAATTTCGAAACTTTATTTCAGGCGGTAATCTCACTTATCGACTACTACAAGGAGAATGCCGAGATTCTGTTGGAGACTTTTAAGTCGATGGGGTTGAGAGTTTACGGAGGCGTAAACGCGCCGTATCTTTGGGTACATTTCCCCAGTTCGAATTCTTGGGACGTGTTTGGTGAAATTCTCGAGAAACGCACATAATTACAGTTCCGGGGAGTGGATTTGGTCCAGCTGGGAAAGAGTTTATAAGGGTTACTGCATTCGGTCAAAGAGAAAACATACTTGAAGCTTCGAGAAGGCTGAGGAGCTTTCTCTAACGCATACGTAAATTGCTCTATTTATTCAAGAAAAAATCGGAATATTGCTATTTGCGTCGTGGAAGCATTGTATCCTGTAACTAGTTTGAAATTTCTTTAATAAAATTGCATTAATATATGTAATCATAGATGCTATAGCCTCACATTGTCATAAATGGAATATACTCGATCTCCGTAAATTCAGAAATCGTTACTTACTATATATAGACAAAAGAGCGTTGACATGTCATTAAAGTTAAAAGTTTTATTATTAAATTTGTGAAATATATACAGGCGTAATGTTACATTTGCTACTTATTTAACCCTAAAATCCCCGCAGCAACTCAAAAGACGGCACGAGCATTCAACCCGAATATCGTCTGCATCGTCAGCAACCCGTCCAAACCCGAACAACTATTCCTCTTCATCAACCCGAACAACCCGAATAATGTCTGCATCATCTCCAAACCGGTATTTCTGGCGATCATCAAGTTCAAACTAGTATTTCTGGCGATCATCAAGTTCAAACTACTCGCCCGGGGGTCGCGACCCCCCATCTCCAAGCAATTCTTCATCAACCCAAAAAACGCATGCATCGTCAGCAAGCTGTCGGAGCCCGCCTGGTGACTTTTTCCGACGACCCTCTTCAAGTTCAAACTCCGCGCAACCTTTTCCAAACCCCCGTGCAGTCCGACGAACGGAATCATACTCTTCAAATCGTACACATTCCCTTTGAAATACTTCCACACATACCTCATAAACCCATCTAAATCATCCGGCAACAATTCCCCGTTGTTCAGAATCTTCGTCAAGTACGCGAAATCGTACGGCCCGTGGAAGGTGAGCCAGACCAGCCTGCCGGAATATGACCGCATCCCCAGCTCCGAGCACTTGAACAGCAGGGCGAACTCGCGTGAGTCGATCCCGTATTTCTTGTTCCGTGACAAATCGATCCCTTGTTTCTCGAGTAGGGATACGGATTCCTTGTTATAAGGGTCGATGGCAGAATCAAATTGAAAGTTGAATTCCCAGATTTGTTCCCGACCGGTTTCCGCCGAGCGGGGTAGATTGCCGTACCTGTCGAATATTGTGAGGCCGAGTTGGATAATTTTTAGCGCGTCGACGTTTCGCTTGATGTTGGAGTAGAATTCCGCCGGGGCGCGCATGTGTGGTGGAACCCCGTCGGGGTTGTAAATTGTCCCTGGAAATTCGGTGTCCATCGAGACGAAGGTGAACTGGCGGCGATCGGGCGGCAGACACTTATCGATGTAACGAAACTCCTCCTCCAGATTTGAAGCCCAAACATGGCGTACTTGTACGTCAGACGAAGAAGAAGAAGACGCCATTGTTTTTTCTTTTTCTTTTTCTTTTTTTTTGGTTGTATTGTAGATTTGTAGTGCGTAAGTAGGGTATATATAAAGAATATGGGTAACTTGGAAGGCAAGTATTTGGGTTTTTATGCCAAATATTAATTATGGTAACTAAATCTTTAGGAAGAGTTCAACTCATTCAATTTGATTAACAACCAATCACTATCGAATTAGGATTTTCCTTTTTGGTATTTGCATCAAATTGATTAAGATCCAACCACTATCGAACTAAGGATTTCTTCACGTATTTGATTTTTATTTTTGTCGGTTCGAACTTTTATTTTATAATATTTGTTTCAGGCTTTTTATATAGGAATTATAAATAAATATTACCAAAAATAGGGTAGGCCCAAATATATATTAATTAGGGTAAATTGCAACCACACCTGAGGTATTGTCAAATTACGAAAACTCCCCTCTTGTATGGGTAATTACAACCACCTCTCGACGATAAATTTTCTTATACGTCCACCCTTGCGATTTCAAATTTAGTGGAATCTTCGAGATTATATGAAATATTATCACTTATGTAACCGTTTTATCCCATTTGAACTCCACATTTTGAATCAAGATGATCATAATATGTGTTTTTTGGCTTGTATATATCAGATTGTGGTGCATCAGAAACTATATTCTTACACAAAACGAGAACAAACTAGAACGCATTCCATGAAATCTAGATAATTATTTTGAATTTGACACCATAAGAGTGGAGGTGTAAGAAAAAGTCACAGTTAAGAGAGTAGATGTAATTATCCAAATAAGAGGATTTTTTTTTGTAAATTGATCATACCTCAGGGGTTGGTTGTAATTTACCCTATTAACTATTACGTTTAACCACCCTAACACACATTTTTCTAACACCGAAAAATAAAAGGGGTTATTACTTATTCATTTCTAAATTTATTCCCAATTTTTTTTTTTTACAATAAAGTCCAGATGTGTTTAAAAGACTAAAAGTTCAAATAGAGTCGAATCGATTTTTTCGGTCAAAATTGATGAAATTGGAGTTAAATTATGATTATAATTAGAAATTAGATTTAAAGAGTTATGGATAATTTTCATAAATATTAAGTTTGTCTGTATTTATAATACATATGAATTTATTGGCAAAAGAGATAAAACACCTAAACCTAAATCAAAAACTTATGCATAGAAACCCAAAATAAAATAAAATAAAATATTCCTTAACGTGCCATTGAAATTGAGAATTTGAAGATACGGATTTTAAATTCACAATCATAAATTAATTAAGTTTGTTAATATGAATTCATTTTGCAATGTATCCAAATATATGTTTCTCAATCCTCATTATTTATCATCTTAATTTGGAGTTATTTTAGTCATTTTTCAAATGGCAAAAAGGCCCATCACATGGGACTTAAATGCATTTTAGTCCACAAAAAAAACAGTCTCTCAATTAAGCCCATCCCCATGTCTTTAGTCTAAAATACCCTCAATAATATAATTCTTAACAATTCCACCCATTATGCTCTAACTTCTTTAATATTACACATTGACCCCGGATTTAAACAAATATATCACATTAACCCCCAAAACTTTTTTTTTTTCAGAAAATATTTTTTTTTCTGAACTGTTTTTTTTCCGGCCAGATTCCGGCCAGATTCCGGCGTTGACCGCCGGAGACCGCCGGTTTCCGGCGGTGACTTTTTTTTTTTTTTTTTTTTTTGAAATTTTTTTTTCCTGCTTTTTTTTTCCGGCCGGTCAACCACCGTTGACCGCCGGTCTCCGGCGTTGACTTTTTTTTTTTTTTTTTTTTTTTTTTTTTTGAATTGTTTTTTCTTAGAAAAAAAAAATATTTTAATTAATATTACTGTCTTGACTACTAAATTACTGTCTCAGACAGTAATATTACTGTTTGAGACAGTAATATTATGAATATTATTTTTCCGAACAGTAATATTATTAATATTATTATCTAAGACAGTTAAATTACTGTTGGAGACAGTAATTTAACATCCAAGACGGTAATATTAATTTAAATAAATTTTTTTTAAGGAAAAAAATTAAAAAAAAAAAAAAAAAGTCAATTAACAGTTAAGTTACTGTCTCCGACAGTTAAATAACTGCTGGAGACAGTAATTTAGCAACGAATACAGTAATATTAATTAAAAATATTTTTTTTAAGAATAAAAAAGTCAATTAACAGTTAAATTACTGTCTCCGACAGTTAAATAACTGCTGGAGACAGTAATTTAGCAACGAATACAGTAATATTAATTAAAAATATTTTTTTTAAGAATAAAAAAGTCAATTAACAGTTAAATTACTGTCTCCGACAGTTAAATAACTGCTGGAGACAGTAATTTAGCAACGAATACAGTAATATTAATTAAAAATATTTTTTTAAGAATAAAAAAGTCAATTAACAGTTAAATTACTGTCTCCGACAGTTATATAACTGCTCAGACAGTATTTAGCAACGATACATAGCCATCCGG